ATGGAAATAGGGATTCAAAGAAGGAAACTGGCCTTTTAAGTGGCCGATCACGATGTGCAGTTGTTTTGTTCAGAAAATATAATTGTGACTGACGACACAATTTGATAGCAAATCAAATACACGTTCCCTGTATTTTTAATCAATCAAAACACCTAGCACATAGGTGGGTATGCAGGATTTTACATTTCCCTTTATCCTTTTTGCTGATTATTCTTTCTTTTTCATTCTGAAGTTGCAGTAATAATGCAGCACCAAGAGAGAATTTGCTTAACATTCCTTTGTGGGTATAAAATCACTGCTATCCGCATTAATGCTTCGATGCTCACTCCTATCCAAAATGTGGATCAAAACCACAGTGACTCAGTTTGTAAAACCTCAGCTATCTAATAATCCATCTGAGGCTTTTCCCTGATGAAACTTCGAAACCCAGAAGATCATTATTTGCTTCTTAGTTCAGCACCCCTGGATCCTGTGTATAACCAGAAATTTCTATGGTAGGAAAAGTCTTCTGACTTGATAAGGAACCCCCACTTGATGAAAAGATCCTGCTGCAAAATCCATTCTTTACTTACCCTCCTGTATCTCTGGAGAGATTGTTTTGTTTCATTTTGCTTTCAGATTCTCTTTCCATTTTTTTTTTTAATTATTATTATTTCAGGGACCTCTGGCTTATCCGGGGACGTGGCGGCTGCCAAAATTGTAGAACTGGCCAAACAGAACCGACACATTACGGCAGAGATGGAAAGGGAGAAGACCAAAGCTAAACAGCTGAACAACAGGATCAAACAGTTGGAAAAAGAAGTGAGTCTTTGCTCTGTCGGCGCTGTCTTTCTTAGACCATTTCTTACCTTAGGCAGGAAAGCCGGCTGGGTGACTTTGGGCCAGTCACTCTCACTCAGCCCAACCCACCTCTCAGGGTGGTTGTTGTGGGGAAAAGAGGAGCAGGAGCATTACGTACGTTCACTGCCTTGAGTTGACTTGACATACATACATATTTGAAAAAGTGAGATAAAAATATAATAATAATAATAACAGGAGCAGCAGCAGCAGCAGCAGCAGCAGCAGCAGCAGCAGCAGCAGCA